CAGTTTGTTTACTTTCTGATTCAACTGCTTGATGTTTGAACTGTGTTTGGTGAATGTAAAAATACATGATCTTTTAGACAAGACTCTCTTTTGAAACCAAACATGTCCAGGTTCATCTGACAGATCTGAAGTTAACAGAAGCTAAAAGAAATAGAAAACAGAAAAAGCTGTTTTGCACCAGGGGCATGGASCTCTAGAGGTTAAGTCAGAAACAAGTCTTACTTTGGGCCGGTAGCTTCTTGATGCACAGAAGACGTCGTATCTTGGGAACATTTTCAGGATCGTTGCTGGTCTTGGTTTCAGACGGTGCGTCCTGCTGAGCCTGCATTCTAGCTGCCTTCTCTCTACGGATCTCTTCCAGGGTCTTGACCCTAACTTTTTCCACATCTTTGGGGGCAGAAGCAGGGTCTGGCTCCTCCTGGTTCTTGCCTGGAGCTTTCTCCACCGTCTGCTCAGGCTTCTTCGTGCTGGGCTGCTTCTCTTGTTCATCCTGCTGTTTCCTTTTGGGCCGAAGACTCTCTGACAAGCTCTCTCCGACTTTCACAGTGATGATTCGTTTKGTAAACTTGGTGGCTTTACTTGGATCAGTTTTGGAGGTGTCTGGAGCAACAACTGAAGAGGAATCCTTCTGGTCCTGAGACTTGGCTGCCTTCTCTAGTTTGATCTCCTCCAGAGTTTTGATGCGGATCTGTTCAGGAGCTTTTGGAGCCTCGTCAGCCTCAGCTGTAGAACGAGTCAGAAGAACGTTTTAGTGACAAACGTTCGTTTAATCCAAACTGAACTTCTCAACCAAACTGAAGCTCTTACCGGTCTGAGTGACTGAAACTAGACCAGCAGACAATCCAAGTCTTTCYTTTACAGCTTTCAAAGCTAAAGAGAGGAGAAAAAAGAAAGCCTGCAGCTGTTTCAGACTGGTTGGGAGAAAATGTGCACATTTTGGGTTGTAGTCCAGTGAGATCACCAAGTGTTGAAAACTACAACATATTTTAGTTAAAAACGTATTTTAGGCTGAGTCCAGCTCCTCCCACATTGTACCCGTCTGTGTGCTGCTGGTTTGTCAGTCACCAGTTGGTACACACTGTAACCATGGACAGTTTACATTGCATTTGCCATAAAATGATTCTTTCTGCACTAAATGTTGTGAAGTGATGAATGATATGGAGAAACCATCATCATCATGTACATTACTCCCACAGTTTCAAGCCACTGAGGTGACAGTAAGGGTCAGACTGTGGGCTCTGCTTCAGTTCTGCACATATTTCACACAGATAAACAGTTCTCTGCAGAACATTAAATTCTTTATCTTTACTGGCTGAACTGGTCAGAAGCCTGTCTGCTGAAACACGACCAAACTGTTGCTGCAGCTTCCTCAGGATTGTGTTTTTCTGAAGAGTTGGTATTTGCTGAGATCATCAGTATTTCCTCTTCAAACTGACTTGGTGATTTATTATTTGTTCTTGTTTAAAGACACCAGTGTCAGCAGCTAAAACCTGACCATCATTTTGAACACAGGGCCCTCTGTTTGTTCACATAAAGAGCAGAACTTGTAACATTTGTTTCACAGGTTGATATTTTCTATTTCCAGCACTGTTCCTGTTCTTTACACACCAGATACAACTGATTTAMTGGGTTTCTCTTTATCCACTTTTAGGTCAGGTGAGAAAATTTGGTGATGATTTAGGTCATATCTATGCAGTAATATGTTATATAAAGGTTCACAAATTTTCCAGCACTACTGTAGGTTCCAGGATAGACAGATCTCCACAATAAAGAAAACATATCTTTACTACTGGGCCAGGTAAGTTTGCCTGGTGTTCGGTGGAAAAGTCTGCTCCGTTGCTTAGAGAGAACAATCATCTATATCATCTGCTTTTTTGGGGAACAAAGAACTGGCCTTTTGTCCAGTGAAGTAMGATCAACATGCTCATTTCTGTCAGCTTCAAAGAACAATTTAATATTTAATTAAAGTTACTTAGATTTAATCCAAATGAACCCTCTGTTCTTAAATTGACCTCTTGTAAGTAGAAGAAAAGAGGAAGTCAYACAAATGTTCAGTTTGCTCTCTACAGAAGTTAACCTTCATACTGATGCACAAGTGAGGCCATGCTCCATCTCTGTAGCAGGTCAAGTCCAATGTATAACAGCACGAGCATTTTTACCTTCACTGATAAAAACTGAAGTCTGTAAGGGCTGTATCAATGGTCCATAATGAAATTTATCCACACAGGCATTTTGTTCTTCACAAACTAACAGTACATAAACAAATGTATAAACAGGAACCTGCATGAAGCAGTAATGAATTTCTACATGTGGAACTAAAACATCAGGGTGAGAATTCAGCTTAAAACCCAGCAGCTGGTAGGTTTTGGTGCACACAACTCTTACCTTTCTGAGGAGGAAGTGATGACGGTTCTTCACCCACCGCCCTGCCCAGACGTCTCTTCAGTGGAACCTTCTCTCCGTTTTTAAGATCTTAAACAACACGTCGTCACAAGCTTTACATTTCAACGTCACCCTCACTAAACGTGGAGCTTATAAATCRGAGCACAAACCTACCAGTGCTGGGAATCTTTCTTCCAAGCCTCGCAGCCACGCTGACCCTCACTTTTGGAGCTTCTTCCACATCCAGAGAGCCTGGGTTTGGATAGACCACATAGTGGGTCAGAGCAGAACATCACTGTGGAACTAGTCTGGTAAAAACCAGCCCACTTCATACAGAGGGTCTGGACCCTCGACTATTGAGAAATGATTTCTTGCTGGAGGCGTGGCCTCTGTTGAAGTTTAAAACAGTTKGATCTGATTCACCCAATCACTAACGTTTGGCTGTGACATACGTAGAGCACCAGCTCCACTGTGAAGGAGGCTAAGCTAAGAAGCTAACCTGAAATTGTGCACTGTAAACAACCATCCACTACTGAGAGGAGGGAAGTACCGAGCTGAACAAGATGACTGTAAATGATGCTGCAGGCTTTGAGAGACAAAGTTAATTTAATTTAGAAACCTTATCAACACAGACTGAATGACTTCCTTCATTTCCTCTGCTGTTATTGCTGAACTACAGACAGACTGAAACAGCAGAAAATCAACGTCATCGTTCACAACTCCTCCTCCTGTTCTCTGATTGGCCCAGTTGAAAATCTACTGGAGAAATCCCAGATGAAGCAGAGGAAACTAGAACTGAACAGAACTGTGTGTGAAGGAACGGACCAGGCTACTGTGGAAACATTACATTACTGGGTTCATTAACATTGTTATAATATGGAAACATTTTATATTTCCTCATTCATAAGACCAGGGCTGCAACGATTATTTTAATAATCGATTAATCTGTTGATTATTTTTTCGATTAATCGGCCAAATCATTAAAACGCATAATTACATGAATATGAGTAGATATAAATTAAGTTAACTCCTTAAGGATGCAAGTTATTGATAATGAATTAATCTGAAGTTGATTTATCCAATTAATTAATAAGCAGGCATTTAAAAAAACTGAGTTTTCTCTTGAATCAAGAGGGGCTTCCCATAAAATGAAGGATTTTTTTAAATCTCCTGAATTAAAAAACAGAAGCACGTAATACATATTTTAACAATTTATTTTGCCAGCTGTTTTAAATACTGACTGAAAAAATGTGTATTTCTCCTACATG